CCACAGTGCTTCCAACATGCATTGAATCAACTTTATGCCGATGATATCACACTCTATATCAGGCACAAGTCCATCCAGATCATCACAACCCAGCTGAGTGCTGACCTTGCCGCTCTGGATCGCTACCTAGATCAGAAGGGACTGGTGTTAAACCCGTCCAAGACTCAGTTTGTCCTGCTCAGGCGACCGGGCAAGGAGCTGCCACCTGGCACCGCAGTCAACTGCCGGGGCACTTCCATAGCCCCATCTGCTTACGCTCGGTACTTAGGAATACTGGTTGACGAACATCTGTCTTTCTCAACCCAAGTGGATGCAGTATGTGCAAGTGTCAATAGGAAGGTCGGAGCATTTGTCCATGCAAAGCAGAATATCAGCATTTTTGGCAAACGACTTTTCTATTTATCGATTATTCAGTCCACATTTGAGTTTGGCAGCACTGCATATATTCATTGCTTATCACAAACCCTATATGACAAGCTTCTTACTGCCAGCCGCGTAGCATTAAAGAGAATATTTTCGTTGGATAGAATGACTCCCACCACTCTTCTATACAGTCATACTAACTTGTACGCCTTTGAGAAACGCCTCAATTTCAAAACCTATGTATTTGTTTACCGCTGCCTGAATGGACTTGCTAGTCCTCTTCTGCGAGACCGCTTTACCTTGCGCGCCCATGGTGCTCGCACTGCAGCCACCACCCATGGCCAAGTCTCTGCTGCTCTTGTTCTGCCCCCCGCTAACACCCGATATGGCTTTAGTGCAATTTCTTGTTTGGGCGCTGCCAGGTGGAATACACTTCCACCGGCTTGCCGCATGTCTAGTTCACCAGCTGAATTTCGCTCATCCATCAAATTATACCTAGGGTTCCCTGTAAAAAGGCGCTGACGCCTGTTGGGAATTCCCTAGTAAAAGAAGAAAAAATAATAATAATAATAAATAAACGTAGACCCAGGAATGAACTTACTGGAAGGCGTGTTTGCAAGGTGGAAGACGAATAAGAAGAATCGTGGGAATCGGGCGACAATGGCTGGGATGTAAGTCCAACATTGCTGTTGCTAGAGTTACCACTGCCTGTTCACAAGGGAGTCAAGTACATGTATGTTGCCGTTTTGCCTTTTCCCGTGTTCTCCGTCGACTGTACTCCCAGGACTATTCTCTAAACTTACGAGAAGGAGTGTTAAATTTTGCAAGATGGAAGAAGAAGAAGAAGCGTGGGAATCCGACGGCAATGTCTGGAATGTAAGCACAACATTTCTGGAACTAGGGTTGCCACTGCTTGTTTATAAGGATTTCATGTGTGTTGTCTTTTTGCCTTTTGCCATGTTCTCCGCCGACTGTACTGGTCTGAACGCTCTCACGTGTGTTGCCCTCTTCAGGCAGTAGAAGGGGGGGGGGGGAGGGAAGTGTCCAGCACATGCTGGCATCCAGGAATAGTAGTAGTAGTAGTAGTAGTAGTAGTAGATTTTATTATTTTACTAGGGGAGTCCCAACAGGCGTTGCCTTTTTACTGGGAACCCTAGGTGAATTTTTACCATGTTTACATACAGAGTAAGAGACGGGGCCTGACGGCAGTCAGTGGGAAGAGCATTCCATCTGTCTGCCGCCAGGAAAGAAATAGAACGCATGCCATATTGCGTAGAAACAGGCGGAAGAACTAATGCGCGCTGTGCCTGGCCGCGCGTGCGAATGCTGGGAGGAACTAGGCAAATGTCTGACCCTTCCTCTTACTCCAAGAAAAATCAGATTTACCATACTGCAGTACCCCGAAGGGCACGTTTGCCCGGGCTTTGGGGCAATGTGATGTGACCCGGATATGCAACATAGGTTAACACGACAAGTTGACCACAGGCGTCTGCCTAATCGACATGTCAAAAGCCTTTGACAAGGTCAATCACAGCCAACTGGTCCGGGACCTATTCGATCTCGGCCTGGACAATGCCTCCCCTCGCTGGTTCTGCAGCTACTTAAGCGATCGAACCCAGCAAGTGCGCATTGGCCCCACCTACAGTGTTGCTGCTAAGTGCTCATCTGGTGTACCTCAGGGCTCGGTCCTAGGACCGATCCTGTTTAGCATGTACACCCGTGATGTCCCTGCCATAGCCCATCCTGCTCCATCTCTGCAATTTGCCGATGACATTGCCGTGCACTGCCACAGAAAATCAGTGCTAGCCACATCAGCCTGCCTGTCAGGGTCTGTCACCAACGTCGCTGACTGGCTCAAGCATCGACATCTGCTTCTAAATGTCCTGTCAATTGTACCACAACGCAATGCGGGTCAGCATGTCGCTGTCCGCTGCAACCAGACAGAGCTTCCCCTGAGCCCAACAGCAAGGTACCTCGGCGTGACCCTTGACGCCGCTGTGAAGTGGGACCCCCATGTTGACGCGATGGCGAAGAAAGTTGTGCAGAAGATTGGAGCATTGTGGCGGTCCCGCAGATGTCTGAGCCTCAGTAGTCGCATCCAGTATGTGAGGTCAGTCATCATGCCTGACCTCCTATATGGGTCTAACGCCTTCTCTTCCTCCCTCAAGGTTTCGCAGCTTGATCGCCTTCAGGTCCTGCAGAACCGAGCGGCGAGAGCGGTATACGGTTTGCCGCCTCACACCTCGGCTCAGCCTCTGCTCGAACGGATGTCCCTGTACAGAGTTCGCGAGTGCTACGCCCAGAAGCGGCTCGTCCTGGTGTGGCGCTGTGTCAATGGGAAAGCCAGCAGTGTCCTTCAGGACCTATTCTCACCATCAGCTGGCAGCACCACCCAGCACCAGGTTTCCAGGGGCCTCACTGTCCCCTCGGCACAGTCAGAAGCCGGCAGATCTCGCCTGGCCTTTCAGGCAGCCTTGGCCTGGAACGCTCTCCCAAGGAGTGTAAGGGAGATCAAGGCTGCCCAGCAATTTAAGCTTGCCTCCATCCCCTACACCTTGCAATGAATGCTCTGTCTGACTTTTCCCGTCCACACACCACGTCATTTACTCTTCTCTGCGTGCTTGTTCGCTTATGAACTCTTTGTGTTCCCTCTGTTGACGCTTCAAAATCGCTCTATTGACACTGCAAAATCGCTCTGTTGACGCTGCAAAATTGCTTATCATCTCCCTCCCTCCCTCCCCCCCCTCTCTCTCTCTCTCTCTCTCTCTCTCTCTCTCTCTCTCTCTCTCTCTCTCTCTCTCTCTCTCCCCGTAGCTCTCTCCCTTTTGAAATTCGCTTCCATAGAATTGGGCACCATTGCCCGTTTGGCCTTGCGAAGCAAAATAAAAATCAACAACAACACCACCACTGGTACAAGGTATCACAGTGTAATGGTAGCGTAACTTTGTTACTACACGAAGCTACTTACGTGGAATATCCAACATTGGAGTTCATCGACGGCCATGTAATAGTTAATGGCCTACGCCTATGGACCAGAGTCCCCAGCTGCATCTAGAGGTAGGAACATCGTGCTACTGCAGGGGCGTCACCGGACCCCTTCACAGGGGGATGCACAGGAATTTTGCACAGGAAAATTTTTGCACAGGAAAACACGAAAAAGTTCGCTGATAATGAGCTGGCCAGGCGCTTTCTTTTTTCGAGAAGACGACATTTTGAGAGGAAACAGCTCCAAAGACTCTTCAAGTGTGGTGACCTGACTAACTTACTTGCGACCACACTGAATTATTATATCTTCTGTTTCAAACAAACATCCAGCATGCCGCCGCGCGTGTAGATTCTAGTACAAGGCCAAAGGATGCAGCGCTGCGCACACGTGCACGGGTGCAGTAGTAAAAGTATTAGGGAGGTTTCGCTCTACGTAATTACGTATGAAAATCCGTATGTCGTACGTGCCGGGGAGCGAGGGCAACTTACTTTCATACGTAAATCTCTCTACGGATTTCCGTAGGAAAGCTGTTTCCTACGTTGGGTCATCCTTAGGACTTTTTGAAAAAATTTTGTCGCATTTTCCGCATTTGTCCATGGCAACGTTCAAGCCGCGCGAAACACAAGGTACACACACCGTACACCACGTGCAAAATCTAATGGAAAACGCGGTTTCGGTTCATGGTGCACGCAGTGGGCGCATGCAGCCAACGCGTCTCCAAAGCAATAACGCATGTTTAGCAGTTGTGGAGAAATCACCATACCAAACTTATGTCCGGCAATTCCCTGCTTCATTCCTTTGTCCAACTACTCAACATACATAAAACATTCCTGTAAATGACCAAATTCTGCTAACTGCCGGCATTATCCGCCTAGTGCTAGTTGACAATCATTACTCATTTTCTGATTAAATCTGGCGGAAAAAGTCCTCCAGTGAAGTCTACATGAAAATAAGATCCCCACTGATGTAAGAACTCAACCATTGTAACCTAGATGCTGCCAATCCTTTTATCCTGGACGGGGTTGTGAGTCACCTAGTGTAGTGTGATGAGCAAACTTGAAATAGTAAAATCATTTCCAAAAATCCACACCAGAGGACGGGGATTTTAGTGTGAGTCCGCTCACTAGCCAATAGACTCACGTCCTCAACATTCCTTTAGATGCTTTTCCCGTCTCCCTGAGATACCCATGTGACCCGATACTGCCAGGGAGCTAGTACCGTATGTGTGCGGAGTGTGTACGCATGAACGCGTGGCTTCTCTGCCTCTGTCTTTTAAGGCTATTCATACTTCATTTCGCGTACGGGAAATTCATCGCGCGACCTTCACGCGATGGCTTTCCCCTATGCGACGCGTTTCGCGTACGTGAAATGAAGTATGAATAGGCCTTTAGTCTCTAGCTCTGTCTTTGTATCGGTCTCTTTCTTCGTCTCTCTCTTCAAGAAACCAGACATGGCTTTGTTATGGATATCAGAAATGCAAAGTGCAAACATGCAGACAAGCATTAGTATCAGGTGTTCACTGAACAGCCTCTTGAACATATGGTCTTTCGACTATGGAACCATGCATGATGCAACTCCACAAGCCCCCCCCCCCCCCAACCCTCGTCCTCAAAGCATACAGTCATAACAATCCACACACCTAATGAACAAATTCGTTGATCCCCGAGCTGCAGAAAGTGCTCAATGTCAGAAACAGAGATTAGGACATAACAGAGTCAGGGGAGGACGCACAATCAAAAATAGTTTTCAGTTCATAATTCACATTCATGAAGTGGAGGAATCAAGGAAAGAATGGGTAAGTTTGGAGGTGATTGTAGGGGTAAGAGTAGTATTCACTTAACCAATCTGGGTTTATGTTACAGGGGATGAGGCAGCGTAAAACTAGACAATTACTTGACAACCAGAGAGATGTGAAAACAAAGATTAGCAACTTTCTGATAATAGAAAGAAAGTGAAAAGCAGTACAGTTTGCATACTGTAGTTATCATCAGTGATTGACTGTAGTTAGTAACCTACTACACTCACACACTCATATCCAGTGTGTACAGAGAACCAGGATTGTCAGCGTCCCCTACACTGAGTACCAGTGTACTGCCAAACAGTGTGAGTGATGGAGTGTAACCACTGTGCTGTGGCATAGCTGGTAGTGGATAGACCTCACCAGATGAAATATCATGTACAACACACTCAGCAGAAGGAGTGTAGGGGCAAATAACCATGCAATGGTCAGAAAGTGTGCATGCTGCACTAAACTTCAGTTTAACACCATCGGGTGGAGTGGTGGACACCCACCTACCATCATGGTGTTTCAAGAAACAACCAAGTGGACCACCAACTATGTACAATGAATCAGAGAACAGGACAAGTGATGCGTCGCTGCATGGTAGTGGCAATGAAGGTAATACTAGGCTAGTATTGGATGGTGAAGAAGAGCTCCACTGCTTGCTAGCTAGAGAATAGGTACTAACATGATTGTGATGTGTTCCACTATTCTGGCCACCATATAGAGAAATAGCATCAGCACATACATGTAGAGTACACCAGTCATGCTTACAGTGCGACGAGGCGTCCGTAACCGTAGTCCACTGACCACCACCACCACTGCGGCCGCCATCACCGTTATCTGGTGTGTCGCGGTACTGCAGAATACAGCGCACCAGTGTGTTGGTGCTCTTGGTGTAGGTTCCACAGTGCATGTACAGCATACCACCATGGGATGCCAGTAATGGGCCAGCCAGCTTACTGTATTCACTTGGTAGGTCAATACTGTGCCATGTCTGCAAGTCTGATGTCTCCATGATCTTGGTGACGTTCACACCATCACGCCACACAGCAACCAGTTTGTCACTGTACGTGGCAAGCCTGGCATGTTTGCCATGCGATGGTACTTCCGGATGTTTAGTATTCCAAAATTTTAAAAAACTCTTTCCAGGACCTGGTACTACCTTGTTCCACTGCATGACAAAATAGAACCACATACACATACACATACACACACACATACACATACGCACAAACACACACATTAACACACTTTGACCTTGACATACAGCTGCCATTAAACGGCTGAGCTGCATAACCATAAACACACACATACAAACACTCCAATACACACACTCACATTTTCTACATTCATAATACAAACATTCACTTACACAGAAGCACCCACACACACCATCACACCCGCACTCACACCCACACACACTCACCAACCCTCCCCCCCCCCCCCACACACACGCACACACACGCTCACTCACATAACACAAACGCACGCATGGAAAAAATGCACAGAAATGAACATAAATTGTTTCTTTGGATGTAAATGGACAAAATGTAGACCAAATGGTAACACATTTCCAGCTATGTGTTTTTCTCGCTTTCAGATTGATGCAGAGTAGTTCGCCTGATTAGTCTGAAGAATACGTTAAACAAATTATATTGACTGTATCAGTACTCGGACCAGGGACCATAGCTTGAGGCCAGCGATGCTCTAAACATTGAGCTATGGTGTAGCTGTCATCCCGGCAGAGACCGTTCAAATACTGTGGTGATGGTTTTATGTGCACGGTCTTTAGCCAACACTGAGGGCAAGGTCAAACTTCAAAATCAGTTCTTGTCTGTTTCAGTCAAGTGTAGCTTAGCACCCTTTTCACATGCACTGCAACTTATGTGTACCTGGTGCAACTTTTACAGAGCCAGAGAGGGTTTGAGCCGGGTTTCGTTCAAGTGTGGCTACTGCACGTAAATCGGGAAGTCGTAAATGGTAGAGGTAATCTTTTTACGACTGCAATGCTATGCTGTCAGGATCATAGGTGCATGAACAATGCTTTGCTTACATCATTATACATGTAAGAACAATGCGCACTGTACACTCGGTTTGTATGCGCCTATCGCTGTTGCCTGCTGGAGCATATCACCTTGAAGTACAAAAAGTGCCCTCGACTGAAAAGGACAAAAAAAATCATAGTTGGGTTTATGTTACCTTTTCGTCTCCATTTTGTCCATTTACGTACAAAAGTAACAATTTGTGTCCATTCACCGCCTGCAAACGGCTAGGGAAGATTGCAGTGGGTGAAAAGACTGTTATTTGTTGTTTAGAGATCTTGCTCTGTACAGGAGGCCTATCTGCAGGAATTAGAGCACGATATTGGCCTATGCAAAGCTATCTAGCAAAGTAGACCCTATGGAGAAATTGATAAAAAGAAAAGAGGGCCAAGGAGCTACAAGTTACGCTAGAATATCCACTAACACCAGCAGTTACTTGACAATCAGGTCATGTGATAACATTGCACGACACTGACCAACAGTACAGACGTTCTACACCTAACTGTCAATCAGCTCTAGTACATCTTGGACGCGCACTCCAACAGCCTTCCAGTTTGGAAGGTTCTAAGTAATAGAAATAACATCGGAGGGGAAGGTGAAGGCTCCTTGGTCCTCTTTTCTTCTTATAAATTAATCCTTGGCTCTCCACCCGAGACTAACTATGGAGAAATGACACAAAATTTCCGTAATATCAGAGCGGCATACTGGAAGATGATGCCCAAATACTCCCCCCCCCCCCACCCCTCCCCCTAATAAATCGTCATTACTTGCTCCGTACATCTCTGTAGTGCTATTAAACAAATTAAAAAGACCAATCTCCACACCAGTTTTGGTATTGGGCTACCTTAACGGGTCTAAGCACCCCCAAACCGAATCGCTGACCCGGCCCTGGGGCAGACACTGGTTGGGTTTTCCCTATTCAGAAAATAAAAGAATATTGGCATAGGCTGTGCTATGCTTCCCATGGTGGAAAGTGATTGTACGCGATGCCATTCAATGTAATCAGTAATTTGTTAGCACCATGCAGAGATGTGTAGTGAGTGGCTGTAGACGCATTGGTTTCACTATGCGTACACCACACAATGGCCGCGTATTGACATTAAACACCGCGTATGAGCTGAGAATTAGGAGTGATTATCCGCAATATCCATCACAATTTCCGTAATTTTTAAGTACATTTGTAAGATTGTCACTGGGGAAAGGAAAGGGTATGGACTAACCAGACATATTCCAAAACAATCTAATCGATATTGCCTGAACTTGCTACTGAAAGTTCTAAAATTAAAACAAAATAGACTCATCCAATCTTACCTTTCTGCGCTTCTTGATGTTCGCAATCTGTTTTGGGGTTGGCATCGCAGGTAAGACATGATATCCTCTATCAATGGATGAAACAGCTGTGCTTGCAGCTGCTGTAGCTTCAGCCTGAAAGGATCAGAGATACAATATCCATAATGCCTCAAAATTATACAATATCATTGATTTATTTTACTAGTACATGTAAGTTACGTGAATATTTCAATTAAATTTTCGGCCAGGAGCCATCATCAGGATTGAGGTGAAAAACAAGTGAGGTGAACCCTATATCATGCAACACAAAGTGGAATGAAAGTATATGTAAGCATGACATAGTGCTATTGACTTTGGGTAAAATTGTATAGGAAGGTTGGCTGCTCCTTACACAGGAGCTCGTGCTGTGACTCACATAGCTATCCGATATTCATGAGGTGCTTGGTGCACTGGAAACTATGCACCAAACTGCACCAAACTGTCACAGTGGGTCAACGAGACACAATCTGGGATAAAAAAAAGGAGCCATATTAGGGCAAAATAGCATATTTTATTAATTTTTTGTCTTGTTCGGATGTTTTGGTCCCTACTGACATTGACTCTGTTGGATATCGTACAACAGAGGTATGTCGTTCAACTTACTCTCGTTGCTGTAGCAGAAGCAGTGGCAGGGGTAGGGGCAGAAGCTGAACTTGAGCGGCTGTCTTGTGCAGCAATGGGACTAGAAATACGTACCTGTAGTTGAACACACAGGCACAGAAACACACACACACACACACACACACAAACACACACACACACACACACAAACACCTTGGTCCTTGATAACACTGCCATCAAATGGTCACGTGTCCCCTGTGCAGGGGTCGACGGCACTGAGTTCAGCATTGGATCCAGAAACGCCGCTCTACTTCCTGGACAGGAAATTAGCACAGTTATGCAGGTCGAAACCACGGGATGACTTGCAGCAGCGACCGCAGCCGAGACAATGCGCTCTGCAGCAGGGCAGGGCAACCCGCTGTTTCCGGACCCAGTCTGCCGATGCCACAGCCGAGACCGACACAACACACACACACACACACACACACGGTCCTGTACTGGACTGTCCTTTCTCACTTTCAAAGATTGGTCACTTGGGTCTCCCCGGGAGAGGGGAGGGAAAAACTCAAAAGGAATCTTGGGAACAGAACTCAATTGGCTATTGAACTGCCCAACGGCCAAACCCCCTGAAATTCACAAACTATGATGGACTTGGAAAAGTTGTATTTCTCGCCGGCCGAGCGCAGCGAGATAGGCGAGAAATGATTTCTCGCGAAACATTTTCAGTTGCATATATGGCATCTGGTGTGTTCTATATCGTCGTTTCTTTTCCTGACTTCTTCAGTTTGTTTTGAGTCTCACCAGCGTCCCTGCCGTCCCACCCTTCATTTCTGTGCATATTTTTTATTACTTTTCTATCACTTTTTGCCGTGATGTGCTTGCCATGCCTACATAATGCCTAATCGCAATTGGGAATTTACACCCGGATTTTTCCCTCACTGCTGCCGCCTGCGCTAGGGTTTTTTCCCGGTTGGCTTGGACCAGGAAAATTAATCTGACGGTCCCCAGTGGTTCTGCATCATGGCCTATTGCTGCTACCCGCTCGCGCACCTATTCTATCTGAGACACTCTGTTCTCAGTCCTTGCTTCCATACCTCACTCGTTATTCGGTTCACATCTGGCTACGGCCAACTGCCTTTCATCTGGCAAGTTCTTCACTCCAAAGGGGAAAAGACCCAAGTGCCATCAGTATGTGTAGCACTTTTTGTGAGCTGACTTTGGAGTGAAACACTTGTCAGTGCCTTCTAGATTCAGCCTGGTCCCATAGCTCAGTGGTTAGGGCATTGCTCATGACAAGCAAAGTCCCGGGTTTGAGTCCTGGTGTGTCTGGCGTTTTTTCTGTTTTCAGGCAGTTCCCTTCCCCGACTGATCCTTTGGATTTTCTTATCATATGATTTTTCGGCCAAGTATGGCAGGGTAGATATTTGACATAAGGTCGGCCGGTTTTTAGTGCTTTCACATGTTGGAGCGGGTTTCCAACAAGGAATTTCAACATGACAGCAGAGAGTATCGGTGCAGATTGTGAACTACCCCTTTCATCCTTTTTTGACCCTGTAGCTTGTGTATATAGAAACGATCACATATCCGCTCTGACGTCTACCACTCTCTAGTGTGGCTGTGTAAAACTTGTATGTATGTGCACAGACAGCCCTACAAGTGAATTAGGTCACTGTTCAGTTGTGTGTGTGAACAGGTAGTCACACTCGTCCCACAGTTCAACGATTTCATGTCAGAGTCCATGTAGAAGCATGGGCTGATAAATCAGACCAGTGTGAAACCGGCAGTACAGAGAAAAATGTTGTGCAACTTACCGTAGCTGTTGTAGCAGAGACATTGGTAGATGCAGAACTTGACAGGCTTTCTGGCGCAGTGGTAGGCATAACCTGCAGCTGATGGAAATACACACACACACACCACACACACACACACACACACACACACACACACACACACACACACACAAACAAACACACACACACACACACACACACACACACACACACACACACAGTCATTATGATAGTGTGTGCACATGCCGACAGGCACGCATACATTCATACACGCGAACCAAAAAACATCAACCCCAGCAGTTGGTCGTACATCAATCTCCTTCAAGCCAAGCTACAGAATACCGTATTTCCCGGTACGTTAGTTCTCCCCAATGAAAAATACACTTTCCACTGCCGAGGTTATCACCTCGAAAGACAGTTCCCTCCGAAAGATAGTAAGTTCGTACCCGTCCTACATGTACAGACACTGTACAGTACATACATGATATGCACGGACACTAGAATTGCGCCGGCTTCCCACTGCGTGTCATTTACCCCCGATAAAAAAGTACTCCCCGAAAGATAGTACCACCCCCGAAAGTTAGTACTCATGTGGCTGCTAAGTTCGAAAGTTAGTACGTACTAACTTACGGGGAAATACGGTAGTTCAATACACTATGATCAAGCCCGGCATAGTAGGGCTTGAACGTGATGACATCAAAACGGCCAGGGAGTAGTAAGTTCACATCAGAATTAGTTAACTAGTTGTATACACGAGTAGTTGGGTACCCGTGCTACTCGTGAGGACCTCGGGTACATAATAATACTCGAAGTCGCAGATGACATCATGTACAGCGTAGGTGCACAAATTCATGTAACACTCCGCATGTCTACCCAGTGTGTAAGGGAAGGTGTGCATTGTGGTGTTACCATGGAAACATTACCCGATCGGGTACCCGTGCTACCCGTGGATAACTTACCGAACCCGGTTCCCCAACTCAGGTAGAATAAGGACACTTTTCTGGTGCCGCTGTACTTCAAGATCAGCGCTGCAACTCGCCATGGTGATAATGCGGCTGACGTCATGTTACCAAGGAAAACATGTCGTTTGGCCTTGTTCGCCGCACTCGAGCGCTCAGCTTTTTTTCTAAGTCTTGTTTTTGAAAAATTCTTTCCAGTCTGTTTTGGCAGCACTTGGAGCTTGGAGGATTGCAGGCGAGTCACATCGCGATCTGTACGAGAATCATTATCATGGCCATTGTCCTGTGACGTTTTGAGCTCGAGTAGCTTTCTCTGGGGAAGGATTCAAAGATTATGTCGTTCTTTTTTATCGTGGGCGCATCCCACTCGCAGCGGGAATGACATCGGACAGAATAAATGTGTTGAGTCGCGATCAGGAGTTCTGCTGACAAAAGTGATTAGCTCGGCGCGACCTGGGGCATGTGAGGACTCCAGTTCTAGTTGGGCAATACCCCACGGGACACATCTAGCTTGAAGTACAGAGTCGATTGAGAAAAATGACCAAGATCGTAAAGAAGGTTTGTCTGTTCCACAAAATGTTTTAGTACTGTGGCCGAGTCCATGCACTGAAAACTGCACTTGCCTTGTTTCTGTACAGCTAGTACACATGGTACAGAGTGCACTTGCAAGACACAACGACACGAGCACAGTCCCGTACAGACTCAGTTGTGACCAGCGCGATCGTGCGTGGGAGTCAAGTGCCCTACTCAAGTGCATGCGTGCACGGGTCGGTTGATCTACAGTACAGCTAGTGTGATGCACTACATTGTACAGTACAGTACAGTCATTTGTGTGTAGGAGACAATGTCGGCTATTTTGAAACAGCAATGACAGCTTCTTCCATAAACGTGGAGCGTGGGGAATGGCGAATGAGAGCTGTTGCATTGGCTAGCTGTACATCCCAGCAAGCGGGAATGTGCTGGATATCAATGCTAAACACCCGTTCTTGGCGGTGGTGAGTCTGAGCAGACCCCGAGGTACGACAGCTTTGTATACTAAATGTGTACAGTGCGTATGGTAAAACAAATCGACACTGGTTTCCAGCGAAATGTTGTTATCTATGTACAATATCCACCAATATCCTTTATTTAGGGCCCAAAGGCTACCCAATCCACCGGGATTTGTGGCCTTACTATTTTTCGTTTTCTCCGCGTTTTGGGTTGAAATCTGAACATAAAAAGTAGCACTGAAGACGTCATTCGGCTCCTATTTGAAATTTGATATCGGAAATCGATGAAAACTAACCCAATGTATCGACACAGAAAATTTGGTTGAAAAATATTGATGGATGCCAAAGTTATTACCAATACAAGTTTTGTACACACATGATCACCTTATTATACCTGAGAAAGAAAATGCTACCCGGCTCAGCTCTAATAGCAACCCACTGCTGTCTGATGCAGGTGTGACTTTTTCTTCGCCACCAGTTGTCACCCCTATCCTCATCAGCCAAACCAGTAAATTTTACCGGCTATATCACCTTGCTGTGAGTAAGACTGCTTGAAATGTGCTTAGGTCCATACAAACACTGGATCCATGAGGATCCAGTTTTTGAATTTTTGAAATTGTTGCTATGCTGTGACGTAGCACTTTCAAGCCCTATTATAAACCTCATTGCAGGCACAGATTGCAGTTGTCTGACGTCCTAATCTTCCAAAATAAGCAGTGTTATAGCGAAAACAAAAATGAAGGGGGGGGGGGGGTTGCGTGGATCATCTGCCCCACAATTTAGTGAGTTTTACCGCCATCTTGTGCCTCCATTCTCTGCTGTGCTACAACAGGACTTATAATGCATATAAAAAGGTGGCGCTCGCACTCTGAAGGTTGGAGCATTCTCTCTCAAAGGGGGAAGTGCAAGAGGGCGTAGTGCCGCGCTATGTTGCTTTATCGAGAACCCTGAGAAGTCCAGCAGGCCCTCATGTTTGGGTTGGTGTCCACTGTACAAACTTCATCATCCACCAAAACACGAGCTCTGGTGTGGGATCATCCAACTTTTCTACAATTAACGCCAAAGTGGTTTCCACTATCTGGTATAGTAATGCTTAGCATGGCCTTCGGACTAGCTGGTTTGTGGGCAAAAGCATGGCGAATGACAATGTATCTATCCATGAAGAACAACACTGACTGACGTAGCTATCCAATATTCATGCTTGTTGCACTAGAAACTATGCACCAAACTGCACCAAACTGTCACAGTGAGGGAATGAGGCATAATCTGGGATAAAAGAAGAGCCAAATTTGGGCAAAATAATAGCAAATTTGGCCTCATGCGGGTATTTGGTCGTTAAACGACATAGAATCCTAATGTTGGATAAATTTAGCTGTGTTCACAACTGGCGCATGTACGAGTGAAACCACTCGTTCGTGTGTATTTTGCTGGCTTTTGGAGCGCCACGGCAACACGCCGAAATGGAAATCTTAACATGCTGGAATTTTCAGTGCGTATCAGGCGCGTACCAGCGTACATGCCAGTCACATTGACTGGCGCGGTCAAGAATTAGTACTCGAAGGTGTTTAATGCACTAAATACGACTCGGATTGCTGTTTTTTTGTGAACGCCTGAGCTCGGGTTTAGGCACGCATGAACCGCAAGAGTACCGCGTCTACGCGTCAGTTGTGAACACAGCTTTACAAAATACATGTTGGTTATGTCATTCAACTTACTCTCGTTGCTGTACGAGAAGCAGGGGCAAGGGCAGTGGCAGAAGCTGAACTTGAGCGGCTGTCTTGTGCAGCAATGGGACTAGAGACGGGTACCTGCAGCTTGTCACACCGGCACAGACACACACACACACACACACACACACACACACGCACATGCACACACACATACACACACACACACACACACAAACAAAAAGTTTATTCGCATGATTATACGAGTAAATAGTACAAAACATGCTGGATATAATATGTGAAGAAGAGGTTGGTGCGACTTCGGCGATAATAGGGGAAGAGTGTGTTGCTCCCTACATGGGAGCTCACGGTTTTCCTGCCGACTTGAATTCTCACTTGACTGACTCACGACTGCCATCCAGAGCACACGAGAAGTCCATTGAACCGTCCCCTCGGCACACCTGCAAGAAAGCCGTATATTTGACTATACTCATTCAAAAAATGTACCCTATTCAGTACAACGCACACGTGTACATTCTCTTGCATGCTCATTCATACATACTCTCACACCAAGAGACCAGATATGACCGAGTTGACAGCCCAGAAATTGCGTACGCGTGCCACAGCCTGCGAAAGTGCATACTTTGCAGCGACCTGATACTTGAAATATTGACTGAAAAGTGCGTAACCGTTATCTTTATCGGTTAACCGTTAATCCTTCGTAACCGGTCTGCAACCGGTAAATCGCACTAACCGTTTGAGCCCTACTTCTGTCACAATCTGTGCATGTGCAGCTAGATTGCGCACAAAAATATGCCGTCCTTGCATCATGTGTCGCGCAGGCCAGGCCACATTATGTACATGTGCATGAGTGTGCTGGTCTCCACATGCACAGTCAGTGCATCCCATTTTTTTCTTCCAGACTCCTGAATCGTATGCGAGCGGGTGACGAGAAACATGGAAATAGAAACGTTTGGCCTAACTGGCATTACAGAGAAAACCGGCGCTCAACTTACCACAGCTGTTGTAGCTGAGGCAGTGGCAGAAGAAGAACTTGACAAGCTTTCGGGTGCAGTGGTAGGCCTTATCTGCAGCTGACACACACACACACATATACACACACACACACACACACAAACACATGATGTGAGGGCATGCACACAAAATAACGTCAACCCCTGTAGTCAGTCACACATCAATTTCCGTCAAGACCAGTTAAAGAAAAGTTCAATACACTATAGTCCAGCCCGCCATAATTATAAACCTGATTGATGGCACAGATTGCATTTGTCTGATTTCCTTATCTTCCACATCAAGTCCAGCATGTCCCCATGTTTGGGTTGGTGTCTGCTGTGCAAACTACTTCATCCACTAGGAGCCTTCACCAATCTATGGTCTACAGTGACTGCATCAAGGACTGCCTTCTAACGATAGGATTTATTGCAAAATTGAAAGTGTCCATCTGAGACTGAAGAATGGGAAGCACCAGTAACATGGGTCACATGCTGTAACCAGTTCTTATCACTGTAAACAGAGTGTCTGGTTCAACATTTTCATTCAGGATGAACAGCCAATCTGATAAAGATATTCAGCTGATTCTGTTCATTGCAATCCTTAAACTCTTTTGCACCTCACCGCCTTTTCAAATATTAACTTGCGTTCTATTTCTGGGATTAAAAAATCATACCTGATGGTTGGATGCAGACATCGTTGATAGCTGGCCAGAAACCGCTGAAATTTGGTCCGCCAACGCTGTCATCTGTCGGGAAGTCTGTACGTTTGTATCACGCAGCTGGTCGGCGAGAGTTTGTACTCGGCGGTTGGTGGTGGTTTGTTCGCTGTGCATAGTGTGTTGAGTAGCAGTCAGTTGTTGTTGAGTAGCAGTCAGTTGTTGTTGTGTCATGGTCTGGTTTTCAGCAATGGTCTCAAGATGTGCAGTAAGTCGTTGCGTTGCTGAACTCTGTTCGTCTTGAACTGTGGATACCTGCTCACGTGTTGCAGTCAGTTGTTGCTGAGTTGTTGTCCGGTTGTTTGTAATGGCAGCTGTGAGTTGTTGTTGAGTAGCAGTCAGTTGTTGTTGCGTTTCAGTCAGTTGTTGGTTTGTGGTGGTCTGGTTGTTGGTAATGGCTGCTGTAAGCTGGTCCTCTAGCGTATCACTGCGTACCGACAATGCAGTGATGGATGTAGCTTGCTGGGTTAGCTGTTCGGAGATAGAGTCCAGTCGACGTACAACAGCTGGTGGTACATTGGAAAGATGAGGCTGTAATGAACACACAGGGTTGCGGTGACACAGCAACACCACACACAACATACCAACATCACAACAACACTCACATCACGCCATACCAACCCACCAACAGCACACAGAGGAAAATACACACCGAAATATATTCATATTAACTGGTTTGAGGGAAAGAGAATGAAATGTATTCAGTCAGGATATACATATATGGAATAAAAACCCAATAGTGCTAGTTCCCAGATTGCCTCGAGTACTCAACACCACAAGGATAGAGCATTACCACAAAGGCGAGAACAGAGACAGCCGGCTAGGTCATTGTTGTAACGCTGTGTTTCATTGCAAAGCTAAGGCAATCCTCAGACAACTGATAACCTGTACATCATCTGGGTCCAAATTTGTACCAAGGCAGGTAGCTAAAAAAAAGCGCAACGTGAGTGAAGCGCGAAAAAGCAGGTGGCATAGCGAGCAAAGGTGGCAAAAGCGCGACTTTAGTGTGACATTTCAAGTGATACGTTACTTAGGGAGACATGGTGCGGATGGTGTCGGTTATTACATGGGAGGTGAGAAAAGGAGGGAGAGAAGGAGGGGTGACCGTCAAATAACACGTTAGTTACAGTGACGGCGGGCAGACAGGCCGAGGCCCTGGCCTGGGCCTGGTGGCGGCAGGCAGGTGCCGGCGGCGGCATGCAGGTGACTAAGTGACGCCAGTGCCATAGCGCGAGAGATTTTGATACTAATTCCGATTTTTGTTGAGTAGCGTGGCTGCGTCAGCGCGGATGATTTTTACCTTCTATGCTAAGCACAGGCCGCATCTTTTTGAGATGTTGCTGTTCGTCTTTGCTCTGTCGACGATGGACTACCTGATGTCGTACTCTTCACCCTGGTCCTGCAGTGCCCACAGGTGCTTCGACAGCTCCGTGCTTTTGCGGTACTTTTCGTATCTCATAGTCGGGAGATGGTTGCTATAGAGCGCCTTGAACTGTGTCTCGCAAAGCCCGAAGTACCGCCTCTCGTCACCTGAGCTCCGAGCCGTGAAGTTCGCTTGATAGACCACCCTTTCCTGCAAACACCGGCCGTCCAGAGGGCAAGAGGGTTTAGCTCGGCAGTTGCATTCCTCTGCTGGTTTTCGCACGTCGGCCGGGGCCAGCACTTTCTGGTTGTGCCCTTGGATTATGCAGGCCATGTTGGGCATACACGAATAGCTGATCTTGACCGTATTTTGTTGAAAATTTTACAAAGAGGTGACGATGCCGGTAAGTGCTTTCGGACAAGCGTCAGGAACCTCTGGCCGATACTGGTAGACACGGATTCGCTGAATGGCGGGTTGTACCAAATTATGTTTCTCTTTCTTTCTCGGCTCTTTTTGCCTGGCCGCCGTTGTTGAACGTTAGTGCGGCCGGGAATCCGCTGGCTGATAGTGCTTCCCTGTAGGCCGGTGCAGCATTGTTGAAGGCCTCTTGGTCGCACGAAATGCTCGACACTCGCTTGTTGATCATTGCCGGCACTTTCTGTATGATTGTCGGCGGGTGGTTCGACTCGGTGTTGATGCATCTCGGTGCGTTGTTCGGTTTTCGGTACGGCTCATAGCGGCCACTTGCGAGGTTGAAGGTAACATCAAGGAAGTTGACCGTTCCCTGGTTTGTGCTGATCGTGATTCTCAACCCGGAGTCTCAGAAGAGCTTCGTGACGGCTTTGCGGGTGGAGTCTGCCTTGTGTCCCGTCATGTACTTGAATACTGCGAGGCCATCGTCGTGGTACAGGCCTATGCTGGCGGGGCCGAACATATCTGCAAGACGCTTGAGCAGGAACGCCCGTACCAGTTGGCACACTTCCGCGCCATCATAGCTCCCCATGGTGACGTCGAATACGCCTACTCTGTCCTTCTTGGCCCATACCTTGTCGCTTGTGAATAATAAGGATTTTCTGGCATGCATCATCGTATCGACGTCACGCTGGGGAATGGTGGTGAATTGCGTTGCAAACTCCAGCGCCGCTTTGAGGAGCTGCTCTGAGATCGATGGGTAGAATTCGACGATGTCAAATGAGATGAAGGAATATTGTTCTTTATCCTCGATGTTCTTGAACCAGGTCATCATCTCAGCCGAGTTCTTCCACAAATTAGTGTTAGTGTGGCACTGCACTGCTCGGACGATCTTGTCCAGAATACTCTTCCTGATCATGCCCGTCTCCGTCTTGGCAGGGTTAATTAATCGTCGCAGGATTGCGCGGGTGAAGTTCTCCTTATGATCTCCTTTTTAAAAGCAAATCCATGTCTACCAGTATCGGCCAGAGGTTCCTGACGCTTTTCCGAAAGCACTTCCCGGCATCGTCACCTCTTTGTAAAATTTTCAACAAAATACTGTCAAGATCAGCTATTCGTGTATGCCCAACATGGCCTTCATAATCTAGGGGCACAACCAGAAAGTGCTGGCCCCGGCCGACGTGCGAAAACCAGCAGAGGAATGCAACTGCCGAGCTAAACCCTCTTGCCCTCTGGACGGCCGGTGTTTGCAGGAAAGGGTGGTCTATCAAGCGAACTTCACGGCTCGGAGCTCAGGTGACGAGAGGCGGTACTTCGGGCTTTGCGAGACACCGTTCAAGACGCTCTATAGGAACCACCTCACGACTATTAGATACGAAAAGTACCGCAAAAGCAAGCAGCTGTCGAAGCACCTGGGGGCACTGCAGGACCAGGGTGAAGAGTACGACATCAGGTGGTCCATCGTCGACAGAGCAAAGACAAGCCTAAAATGCCCTTTTAACAATTGAGTTGATAAACAAGTATTAGCTGGCCAAGTCAAACTGGTATTTAACTCAGAGCCACCCCAGTAAAACAAGCATGCACTAATCTACAAAAGGAAATAATATTATGACCGCATTACAATCTAGGGGTGATATCGCGATATCCTCAATCCGGAGGCGTCTTACGTCCTAATGTGTCTAATGTCATACGATGCCTTGGGAAAAAGGATGTCGCGATGTCACCCCTTATCTTCTTTGGAACAGAGCAGGACATACGGCCCACTCATTTTGATAATTTTCTAATGAATGAAGAAGTCAGTCCTACAATTCTGTCTGGACTAGAAATACAGTAGGCAATATTAACTTAGTTAGGCAAGTTATAACGCATACTTGCTATGTAGACTAGCATCAGATAAACACCAGATAAACAAAATCTATCAGTCATACCAAGTGGGACATACAGGCCGCATGGCCGAAACCAAATTATTATTGGGCCAGATTGGCTGTCGGAACGGTATTTCCAGGCAGCTGTAATCCTGGGAGCAGTGATATACGTGTCCATTAAAGATATACTGTCTACATGCAAGCAAGTCATGACTGGCAGACCCAGACAGACTTGCATGCCACGCAGTGGAATACTGGGTCCAGCAGGAAAGCTAAATTCAAGCCAAGATTTACGCTAGGTATGGCTGCATTTCCGTATGAGCACCACATGCAGTGCACAAGACAAAAGGTACCCAGCATACAGCACACACCTACGGAAAGCATGGAGATATGACATCATACGCTGTACGTACGAATTATGCCGGAAAAATGTTTCCTCACGTGACTACGTTCCCTGAATAATTGGAAGTGAGATAAAATCAACAATATCTGCACTGCACTAGCAAGGACACCCTCTGACACTGTGATGCCCACACCAAACATGAAGGCATGGCAGCAGCACAGGACACTAGCAGCCAACACACAATCGGCTGCCTGCACTGTCGGTTTCCGGCAAGGACACTATGTTGCCATAGACAGCAGGCTTTTGGGTAACAGCCAGGTGCAGACAGGACATTACAAGAGGCGTTTTAGCCCGGCTTGAACTCAGACTGATCGAGTGATCATCGGCGCATTTTACATTACGCATTGCGCTTGACCAGGGTTGATTTCAACAGTCCCCTGCGGAATGGGGGGGGGGGTGAAAGCAAGAAATAGTGCTACAGTACTTCTGTGTGTATGTTGCTCCAGATTTCAACAGTACTGCATAGGTATATGTTGTGTGAAAACATTCACGTGACCATGCTGGACTCTAGCCATGGACTTTGCGAGGCATATCAGTAACTATCTTCATGTAAACATCCACAAAAATTCTTACAACGAACAGACTTTCACCCAGGTTGTACTCTAGAGGGTTGTAAGTGTTCATGTAAACGCAGCCTAGGTTCTACAGTGTAGCTAAATGAAATCCAGTACAGTCACTCAAGTTTGCGCCTTGCACCATTTCGCAGCCCAGTGTTCGCAGGTCTAGGGGTGCGCAACGCCCTGCGTGTACTTGAGGAATGTGACTGGATTTCATTGAACAGTACTGCAGTATCCAGGCAAGACACGGCATGCCCACACCAAGTATACATGACGTGCAGTGCAGTATCCAGGCAAGACACTGCATGCCCGCGCCAAGTATACATGACGTGCACTGCAGTATCCAGGCAAGACACTGCATGCCCACACCAAGTATACATGACGTGCAGTGCAGTATCCAGGCAAGACACGGCATGCCCACACCAAGTATATGACGTGCAGTGCAGGATAAGGACAGGTAGCCACACAACAAGTACATTTCCAGACTACAAGGTCTAGCAGAGGAACAACAACCACCTCTCCCATCTTCACTGTCCTTAAATAATACATTGATCTTTGTACTTGTAACGCAACAAAAATACAACCCCACTCTCGTGTGTCTTGACGTGGTTGTCTCAGGGATAGACGGGCAATCGGGAGAACCCAATTCGTGACCATTTTCACGATTTTTCGCACTTTCTGCGAACCCTGTTGGATTGCAACACAAGGTACAGGAGCTTGCGCTTGAAGCTTGCTGGAGCCTGGTCGCGGACTCCGTCAAACTACACCTACCTACAAAGAAATGCATCACAAGTGATTTCGCTTATCCTCCACATACAATCAGGAACGCTTGGCCATCACTTCTTCATTACATCGCTAAAATAATAGGGACTGTAGTCAGGCTCAAGAAGATACTTTGAAATGCAAAAATAGAAATCCTTTCAACAAACTACTTACCGACGAGAGACTGGTGAATAGCTGTAACACTCGCTTCATCTCCTCGTGTACTTCCTCGGCAGTCGCTCGCTCGCTCGGTTCGTTGGAGTGGCAGCGAATTGCCAGCGGCTTCAATGGGTGGTCATCAGGGAGTCGCCGCAGATAAGCAGCACGCCGTCTTGTCTCCGCCACCACCTGCGTCGTTTCCCGTCCACTGGCGGCGTCGCGCACGATCACAACGGACGGAGCATTGATCAGGTCGATCCCTGGCATAACACCAGTGATAACAGCCAGTAGCGTAACTCCGAACGAGAAGATATCCAGCGGACGATCATAGTCAGGTTGCTCTACCAGGGCCTCCGGCGGCATGAAGGCCAACGTTCCGGGGCAACGGGTCATGTCCATTCGAGCCGCCTGGACTTGTTGCTGCTGTTGACGAGGGGATGCCAAACGTACGAATTTAGCCATACCAAAATCGCATACCTTTGCGACGCCGTTCTTGATCATCACATTTTTCGGGGCGAGGTCCCGATGGAGTATACCACGAACGTGCAGGTATCTGATACCAGCCGACGTGTCGCAGAGGTAGCCGATCAGCATCAAGCCATCCTCCCGACCCTCACCGATACTCAACTCTTCCAACGTCGAAGTCAGCAACTCCAACGCAAGAGCAGCGTTTTGCCCAACTCTGGCAATGCCCAGCAATTGGCACAGGTTCGGATGGTGAATACGACTGAGACGGAATACCTCTTGGCCGAAAGAACGGATTTTCCTCTCTCGGTCCTGAACACCGGGCTCAATCAAAATGGGATGCAGAACTTTCAGGGCGATATCTATTCCCTGCCACGTCAGCCGATACACGGCGGCATCGGAGCCACGACCAAGTTCATCTTCTAGCCTCACTCGTACGTCTCCCAAGAAGACAATATCCTGATTTGTCAGGCCCAACTCTCTCATCAATGGCAAAGCTTCCAGCTCCATGCCACTAGAAGAACATGAGCATTGTCTGCACTGAGTCAGCGACGCCAGAAAGGACAATGAACTTTGAGACGTGTTGAAGTGGGCAATGGTTTACAAACTTCGTAACTGATACTAGTAATTTAGTTGTTGTCGTCGATTGTAGTCATTATTGGCAATATTGCGTATCCACTAAACAAAGATCTATCATGACATCATAATTTGTACAGTGCTGGCAACTGAAATCTGACCCCCTTGCCGGCGCACCGCGCCAGCAAGGGGGTCGGATTTCAGTTGCCAGCACTGGAGTGTAGTACGAGTAGTAGTAGAGTTGATGACCGTATCGCGAAGTCCGTTAAAATGCGAGGTCCTCGGCCTCGTGTTGTCCATTTCAGCGGTTGTCATCTGCTATGAATAGTATGATTGCGACCATGGTTGAATCTCGTGACCAGGTGACAGCCTACAATAAGCTGTGTGGCTATGGCGAAATCTCGTGATAGGCTAGCCGGCTGTCATGCGAACTCGATCTACACTCACTACCAGGCCAGGGACTGGTTTACACGACTCCCTGCTCACTACAATTATTTTGCTCAGTAGTCCCCCCGATTCAGCCGGCACTAGTTGACGCTAACCCGCCACGTGCCACACGATGACCTTTATCTGATCTCTGTTTCAGTGGTCTGCAAACTCTAGTTCGTAACCGTGAGGATATGGGCGCTCACAGAAACTGACCGTCAGTCGGTCAGTCAAAGCCAAAGGGTCAGAATGGGCGCTTTCGATTACACGTTGACACAATTCTGGAACTGGGTTTTGTAATTCTCGAATGACCAAAATGTACGAATTCCGGCCATGTAAACGAACGACTGGAATTCACAACGCATTTTATTCATGGCATATCACAAACAAAATTGGCCGTAAAAAGATATCACGTACACCCTCACGCGCCCGTCGACCCAGCTTCGCGTACCTGTCCATTCCGGCGAAGGCTCCATGTCGGCAACAATATTGGGCTTCGATAAAGCTGAACGCGTGTGCGAAAGGACCACCCAAACTGATCTGGTCTAATAATCAGCTGCCAGCGGAAACTAAACACTAAACAGCGACAATTAGCTTATCGGGAAGACAAAAGTAGCTACTACATGCAGTTGTAGCCCTGCTTTAGGGCCACACCGGCCAGGGAGGCTCTTCCTTGACTTGAGTCATGCTGCATGACCAGACCGGTAACTTACCGGTCTGGTCACCGGGCCCTACCCGTAACACACGGAGTGTGCAATTCTGGCGCCAGAACTAGAGAAATTCCGTCCTCTTTTCAGAATTGGCGGATTTGACGGAATTGGATAAAATCAATTCTAGCGACGAAATTTGTCACTTTTTGTGTAATCGAACTGTGCATCAACAATAACTATTTTACCGAAATGCGTGTAATCGAAAGCGCCCAATATACATGTACATGATCTGTTGATATTGATAAGGGTTACTGTGAGGCCTTGACGGATTATGCTAATATTTTCGTGAATTTATGCTTTTCACATTGCTGAAAAATTGCAGAATTATGCTATTTTTATGCTAAAAGTTATCATATTATGCCGCATTATGCTCACATATGCTGCTGATGTAGTGTATAATTATGATGGTTCTGCGCAAAATACCAGGGGAATTGTTATGTAGAGGGCGTTGTACTGTAGTAGCAAAAGTTCAACGGGGTCACCGCACCGTCCGACCTAGCTACGACCGTCACTGATTGTAGTGGACTGGACATGTTCTCAAGGGAGTCGTAAACCTACAACTTCCTGGTGCATCTACTTGTACCGGTACTTGTAGAACATGTACAACTGTATGGAATTTGATGCGAACAGGCGGATTATTCCAATTTATGCGATTCATATGCAATTTGCCTCGAATTATGCGATTATTCGATTTTGGTAGAAATTATGCGAAAAATTATGCTAGCATAATCCGTCAAGGTATAACAGGAAAGTCTAACGAGTCAAAAAGTCTAACGTTTTAACGACCACTTTTGTTTCGTTATTTGAAAAAAAACTTTATCGCTAGAAGTCTGTGTGAAGATGCGCATAATGATCGGTGACCAGGTAGCCATCGTTAAACTTTCTGCTGCACGTAATCATGCAAAAACTACAAACACCGTTGAAAACGTTAAACTTTTTGGTCGTTACACTTTCCTGGTTTTCAGTAGTCCCACCGATATTCGTCACGAATCTCTTGTGGGTTTAATTTTCATTTAGGGCATGGAGATATTTTAGGGTTTGCCGAAAATCAGTCAAACCAATAAGATCAGCACCTGGAGAATTCCACCACCCTCAAGTATGGTGTGATAGATGCTGCAGGTCCCACTGGTACAGACACAACGAGTACACCACTGTACACATGAACAACAAGGGGCAATGCTAGGATGGTGAAATTCTTAGTTTCATGCTATGCTATCATCAGGCAACATGAGGGTGGTGATTTTGGCTACACCAGTATTTATAGGAAAAAAAGGTTTTCGGAGCAGACTCGCTCTCTTCCCATTCACTCTGCAAACTCGAACTCATTTACCAATCAATTTTGTACACAACGTTTCGGCAAAATTGCCCTCATCAGGTATACAATGGTGCGCAAGTATGCAAAGGAGGAGTTATATACATGTACATGTACATGCAATTTGTGATGCTATGAAGCAGGCTCCACCCACATGTACCAAAGAGCCCAACATTACTGAAGGCAGGAGACGAGGCCGTCCACTAGGTTCGTGTTTGACCTGTAAGTCTGGAGGTGAGCGAGTGTGTATGCAAAAGAATGTGATCTACCATTTGCCATGCAAGTGGTGCCGCGAACGCTACGTCGGAGAGACTGAAAGATCATTGGAAACTAGACTGATGGAGCATAATGGATAAGCGCGCCGCCGTACCCGCGACAAGCCATGGGGTGAGCACGTGCGCACCAAGCATGCTCAGAAGAGACTGGCGCTAGCTGGGGGATTAGCCTTTTTTCAGGTTTGGCCCACGGACTAGATACTGTTTTCACGGAGTTGTCAGTATTAGCCAGGGAAGGTGACATGGCAAGCAGGAAGTTGAGGGAAGCTGTGGAGATAAGGAACTTGGGAACACAGATTAATTAACACAAACCCTGGCTGGGGAGTGTGAGTATGACAGTTCGCTCAGTGTTACTAGTCAAGATCGCACCTAGAAAAATATTACTGTGCGTTGAGTTACTCACTCTTGATATGTGCGCACTGAGGTGACATCTGACGCTTGCTGGTATTTTTGCTAAATCTTACACCAGTGCACTGTGCATTATCATTTTGTTGGAGTGTGTGTGTGTACATGTATGTGTGTGTGCATGGTTTTGTGAATATTATTCGAGAAAATGAACAAAACAGTCATGAATTATTAAATCTGAAGAAATAAGGACACTGAGTGCCAGCGAAAGCAAAGTACCAAGTGCTTCAGTCAGTTTCCATGGTAACGGGGTTTGTGTAGCTGCAATTAAGTAAGATAATCACACACCCATATCTAATGTGTCGATATGAGCAGGATTAGTACTGCCGTCAGCCACACACCGTACCAGAGGACAGCTGAACAATGTGTAAGATGGCGTGTACACGCTCACACGGGAATCTGGCAGTGGAATGAGTGGATAGACCTGACGGAATATAACACCATGTACAACACAACTATCAGTATCAGATCCAGCCATCTGACAGATAGTCATGTTATGATCAGATCGTGCACATGCAGCCAACTCAGCCAGCTTAGAACCATAATATGGAGGATTGCAGGCAATCCATCCGCCATCATGGTAGGGTCCTCCCTCATTATAACGAGTCGGGTTTGTACATAAACCCCATTAGTAAATAGAAATCTAAAATCTCCTGGCGAAATGTGGTCTATACAACTGTTTACAGGTCCGGTTACCACATAATTCACTCAGTAGAGTTGAGTCCAGCATGCTGTAACTCCCGGTGCCGAAAGGCGGGCTCACACCCTTACATGGCTACTTCCCCTTGTCTATCCCCAAAGAATAAAATGATAGTAGCCGACTGGCCGAAATTAAACAAAATCAATCAAGACTTAAATACACCAAGTGTAGACGTCTACTGGCCACATGTATGCATTTCGGGATTGCACTACTTCCCACATGATACCACCATATCTCATCCACCTATCCGAGTGCTAGTGCCGTGTGTCCACGGACCGTCTGATGCTCCGCACTCATTACCTCCCTGTTGATGACTGACACCATTGCTCTTTACCCACTACTCTTCTCCATCCACTGTAAGACGGGTGCTGCATGGCTTCATGTTATATTTCAGCACATCGTACTGGACACGCATGGAGTGTCCTACTGGACACGCATGGAGTGTCCAGTACGATGTGAGACACAGTATATGCACAGGATATTCTGGTCAACTACGCCAAACAAATACAGTCATGTACATTTACATGTAGTATGTAGTATGTAGGCGTAACAGGCACACCACGTATCTCAAATGTTTACTGACAAGACTGTTTACCTCAAAGGCCAGCGACGGCATTGAGACGAGTAACAAGTAGCAATATCACACAAGGGTCGCGTCGCCGTATAGATAAGGACGGCTCATCAACTGTGAGTAATCTCTATACTTAGCAGTATCTGATGAGTGGTCCTCACCTACATTGTACATGTGTACGACGAAATGATCGTCTAGTGAAACTGCTGCTCATTGACACATCTAAATAATACTTTTTGAAGTACTGTCATTGTCAACGTTCAGTACTCTATTACAGATTCGTTTGGTTTTGATTTATGTTCGCTTAGCGTCCCCTCCAATTGATCTTCGTATTTTTTTAAAGTCGCACAAGTTGTGCGGTATGTTGCTATACGTCCATTAATCGTGTTTTGCTCGTATCGTCCCATGATCTTGACAGTATCGTTATTGCCATACGCATACTTCAAAGTACATCCCCCAACGTTCTCCACACCTGAAACTTTCAGCTTGTGCTTGCCTTGGTTGCGTGCACCTTCCCTTCAGATGTTAATACTATAAGTTAGAGTTTTCCAAGTTGGAAGGCAATTGGAGTGGGCAACCAAAATGTGCTAGAGCTGATTGGCAGTTAGTAGTGGAACGTCAGTACCATTGCATTGGTCAATGTCGTGTAA